AATGACATGAAACAACTTCTGAGACCATAATGTCTTTTTCTTTCAAGATCCTTTTATCTCTTGATACATCCCATTTGCCATCACATTGCCCATTTGTAATTCTGAATCCCCAGACTGATCATAAAACACTAATAATTAAGTCAGATATTGTTATGAACAACTGATTTTTGCTGGGAGTGGGAAAAAGTTGGTTCATTTAGAAAGGAAATAATTGGTCAGCTCCATCAGCAGGAAGCCTGGGCTTTTATTATTATTTTTTAAAGACACTTTATTGCCTTTTAGACGTCACCAGCCTTACTTTGCTTTCCTAAGGGCAGCCTCTCAGAATGCTGCTCCTAGCATGCAAGTCTGGCAGCTGTTCTTGGACTACTGCAGGGCACTGCTCACATGTTCTTTCCTGCCTCCCCTTCCCATCTTTTGCTATTACCTCAGAGTAGCAAACCCACTGGCTCACGCTGCTCTTTTTAACTAAACCCTGAAATGTGGCAAGGTCTCTGAACACAAAGGCCCCTAGAGCTTTTCGTTGAGTAGATTTTTTGCAGTCATCAATCAATATCTATGACAAAAGCATTTCCCCCCTACACTGTGGATTACACCAAGATCCTTCACAGGAATAGATCCTTTAGTTAGGTGTCTTGGCACGATGTTTGGCACACTTATCATTTATTGTATATACTTTGACACATTCCATAGGAACTTCTTATAAAACGTTTTGGGGTTTTGCCTAGAGAATACGAAAATGAAGCACTAATTGTAAGTACTACTCAAGGCTGTAGCATTGACCCTTTTGTTTGGAGCCCAAGGACTCTTCTGAGAGAAAACAGCAGAGTTCAGAATAAAAGGAAAGATGAGATGGTCCCTCTCCAAAACACTTGTTACTTACTGTTAAATAAAACCAAGAACAGAGAACATAGACCTGGTAAAACAGGTGGTCTGCTTACCTAGTCTAGCTCATTCTGCTTAGGAAGGGCCTACCTTCTCCAGATATGTATTTAGGAATGAATAAAGATGAGAGGAAGAAATGAGAAAGTTCATTCTTCCTAAGAAGAACATGTAGGTCCATTAAGTAATACAGTCTTCAAAGACTATAAGGAGGGTCCCAATTCCAGCTGCCACCTTCTTCTCACTAAAAGGATAAACAGCCTGGAGTCACATGTATGTCCCTGTGACAATTGTCATTCTCACTGTCTGTATTGATTTAATCTGTCTTTTTCTTAGGATCTTTATTACAAAGTCACCATCTTTTTTTCTCCTTTCTTCTAATTAGTTTAGGTACTGAATCTTTGTGTTTGCGTGTGTGTGTGCGCACGCTGGCGCACGCCTAGGGCCTTGTCCATTGTTAGTTGATTTTTTAAAAATATTGTTTTAGTTGTAGGTGGACACAATATCTTTATTTAATTTTTTATTTTTGTGTGGTGCTGAGGATTGAACCCAGTGCTTTACACATGTAAGGTGAGTGCTGTGCCAGTGAGCCACAACCCCAGCCCATTAGTTGATTTTTAAGGGAGAGTTTGTCCCCCTCCAGGATGCTCTGGATGTGACTTTCTGACTCTCTAGTACCTTTGGAGGGAAGAATCTCTCCCCACTCAGAATCCCCCACTGTACCCCACCATGGCACACTGCCTGTGTAATTAGTCAATTTTCTCTGTCATGGGAATAACAACTCAGAAATTATAATTCAACTACCTAGTGCTCAGTATCATGTATGTTAGAAAAGCTCTAAAATGAGGAATTATTAGACTGGTTTAAGGAGCTCCTGAGACTATAACTGCTACATCAGGGAATCTCAGTGTTTGACAAAATCTAAACTAGAAGTATGATTTATAGTACTGAATAATTTATAATTATATTTTTAATTAATTATTTACTGGCAGACTTCTCCAAAGCTTGTTTGCTCAGTGAAGTAGACAATGAGTTTATCTTATTCACTGATATATCACCAGAATTTAGCTCAGAGCCAGGGACACAAAGGCAGTTAATAATGTTAGTTTTGATTTCTACTTTCACTGTCTAGTGCTGGTGCTCAATAAATGTGGGACACATTGCTATTCTTCAGTCTGTCTGAGCTGTTCTGAATTAATATTTACTTCAGAGTTTTCTAGTCCCAGCTATATTGTATTTTCTGTCCCAATCTAATTTATTTTTGCTAACTAGAAGGTGCTCTAAAATATTCTTCATGTGGGCTTGGCACGTGGAAAGAGCCTCTATTTTCTCTGGGACAAAACAAATTAATCTTTATAAGATACTCATGAGAGTATATGACATATACTTATAGTATATGCCATATAAATGTCTGTTAAATTTAAACAAGCAACTGTCTTTTAAGGAAGGAAAATAAGGATGCTACCATGTACATTAGCTTCCAAGGCCTCTTATTTTATTGTAATCACTCTATACTTTGTTTGGGAATATGCAGAAATACACCATCTCTATAAGAAATTTAAGGAAAGGAAACATGAATTATTTATTTAGACCTTGCATCTGGTATAGAATTAAGCCTATCCTGCCTAAAGAGACATCTGAAAAGTAGCCCACAGTTGATTGCTCTTTGATGACTCGTTTTTATTCCATTTTCAAAATCTGGTGGAACATCCATTAGAGTCTGGCAGAAATTCTGTTCTCTAATCAGCACTATAAGCCTGGAGTTTGCCTCCAAAGCTGGAGGGAAGAATTGGTTTTCAAACAATTTAATTGCCATCTAAAAACATACATGGCTTAGTTTGTCTGATTTATGAGTTAAATGATTTCACCTGGTCCTGGGAGGGAAATGACAGCTCATTCAGTTTCTCATCTCCACTCCCCTAATAACTGTTTCGGGTGACTACGGCAACCACATGCACATTCATATTCCAAATTTAATCAGGCAACATGCTGTTTACTGATTCATTTGGGATGTATTGCAGAATACTCAAGAGAACCAACAGGAACCAATTCTTCCTTTGTGATGAGGAAGTACTTTTTGAACTCTGTTTTTTTTTTTCTTTTTCTTAAAAAAACAGGATTCTCACCAAGGTTGAGCCCAGATGGAATTGAAACAAGAGGAAATGGGTAGAAAATTGAAATGATTGGGAGTCAGAGGACAAAGGTGGACTTTATAGGCCAAGTGGTGAGCAACTTCTTGGTTAAAGGCAGAGCTGGATGTAGGATAGAGAAGTGTGGGCCCAGGAGCCTGCTGATCCACAGGCCACCTGGAAAATTTGGGCATTCCTATCTTGCTTTGTTGCCTTGCTTAATTAAATACTTTTCCTCAAGCATTCCATCCCTCTGGCAAGATTGACAATGTCTGGTGGAGCCATCCCTTTTCTTTGTTGTAGGACAGGTCACTCAGAAAGCACACCAAGTCTCAGTTTTGTCCAAATTGAAGAGTCTTTATTTAGCCAGGTGGCACTTGCTCCCCACAGGACCCATAACTGTCTCTGCAAGGAACAGCTCGAGCCTGAGCATTTTAGGATATTGAAAGGCAAAAACCACAACTGGGTTGACATAGCTGCAAGCAACCAGTACAGAAGCTGACTTGGGCAGTTAGTGAGACAATGCAATGAGTACATTGGTATTTTCCATGGTACTTTCCAGGTTGGCATAACAGCAAGCAAGCAGAAGGGAAGGGGGAGTCAAAATGACCCTAGTTCAGTACATGTTAGAGAATGGTTACTAACATCTAGACAATCAATCTCTGACAAGGTACATTGCCCAAGAAAAATGAAAACCAAAGAGAACAATTTTACACTGTATAAGAATTGTGATTTTGTATTGACAAGAATGATATGCTAGGTAACTATTAATGGGTACAGAGGTGGGGCTTTCCCATAGGAGAAGCATTTCTTACATGATATGAGTCTCAGGATAAAATACAGTCTGTTTAGTTATTGCCCATAGAGCCTGGCCCATAACATCTGATGTTATGGGTTTAGCAGCAACCTTTGAGGAAATTTCAAGAACAATTTATGGCAATTTATTTTGAATCTGTAAGAAATCAAGGGCAATGAAATAGAATAACATGCAAAGGATTCAAAAGGGGGACTTGTCTTCAGTTTGTGGATCTTCTTCAGAAGGCAGACAGTTCCCCACCCAGCCTGGTGCCTTCCATTTGAAACCTGAACTCCTTCTTCTCTCCTCCTTCACTAGATTCTGGACTGGTCACCAGGATGGGGATTCAAATCAGACTGGTGTAAATCAGAGATCTAACTCAGTGGCAAGCTTTACTAATAATTTCAAGGACACAAGGACTAGAGAAGCATGGGCACCAGACTAGCACTATCAGCCCAGCTGTCCAGGCCCTCTCTGGAAATATTGATCCACTCTAGTCCAGGGGCACACAGGAGATATCAAAGTCATATGTGCAGCTCAAATCACTTAACAGAACACTGTTTATGAAATCACTCCATTTTATTCTTGGCTAGTTATGTAGCTGACTGGACCGTGACAGGGAGACTTGCTCCAGACATTCACAGATCCTAGATTTGTTTCCCAGAAGCAATCTAAGGCAACCTGGTGCACACAGCTCAACCTTTCTCCTCAGGACTTCCCCACTAGCTATTTCCTGACTTTGCTTGGCAGAAGACTCATCATTAACATCTTGACAAAGAAATGAAGGTAAGTCACCACCTTCCTTACTATTTGCACTGGGGCAACTCTGACACCTTAATAAAGTGAATGGATTGTAAACCTGCTGCTTAATCATGTCCTTCCCAGAGATAAGGCAGTTGCTCAATTGCAAAGCCTGGTGGAGCACTGCTCCATGTTTGAATCCAGCCTTTCACAGGGCCACCATTGTTCTCAACAAAGGAAAAAGGAGCCTTGACATGAGACCTCCCCCATTCCTTTTATAGTTAGGAATGCTTTTGCCTGGAGATTTATTTTCTTCATTATGTTTTACTTTAGTTCCTTTAAAGAACTAAACAGTCAGCTTTTATATTATTTTATTTTATTTTATGAGAAGGAAGCGACTCAGTTCCAGAAAATGCTTCCAGGTACAGAAAAAACAACCCAGTAAAACATGTGTGGCAGAGAACAGCAGCATCAGCATCTCCTGGGAAATATTCTAGCTTCACAGAAAGCCTGAGGCAAAACTCATTCAAATTCTGAGGCAATTCTCCCTTGAAGTGGGCCATTCTTGACTCTACTTTATGTGACTCTGGAATTAAAGCAGAATTTGTTGTCATGAGGATTGGATGACTGATGCTTTTTCACAAAAAGGAGCACAGGTAAGTCCATTGACCTGAACAGAGTACCAAAATTATTTTCTTTTGGGCTCAAAAATCAAAGGTCTAGATTTGAAATTTTATCTTTTCTCCACAGAATGGAAGCCGGCCATGCCATTGTTGCAAATATCATGCCTAACCAAAAATAACAGCTGCTGTCTTGTGATGAGCATTTACTCTGTGACAGTCACCATTCTAAGCTCTTCTCACATGTGGCCTCATTTCACAGTTGTAATAATCCTGGAGGCACTGTTTAAACCCACTTTATAGGTGAGATCAAGTTAGTGGCAGAACAAAGATTCAGGCTTTGTCTCTGTTACTCTGACCTGTGTTCTTACTGCCTACTGAATTGCATCCCCTGAATTACCTTCATCCTTCAAACAATTTTGTTCCTTTAATTAATTAATTAATTTCACAAATGAACAAGATGAATAATTGTTTTTCTAGGACACAGACTCTCATGAATTTAGAGCTGTCTTCAGTATTGAATTTTCAGGTTTTCCTTTTTACCTAGGTAGATATGTGTTATACATTATTTTCACCTCTACCCTTTCCTTTCATCAAATATTCTCCATTTCATATGTTCCATATAATATATAAATGTATCATGATTATAAATTTATACATTTGTAAATACATATTTATGTTATATAACACACATATATTGTCCAAATGTTTGTGTTCTCCCTAAATTCATATTTTGAAATCCTAAAACACAAAGTAATAATAGTAAGAGGTGGGGCCTTCTGGAAGGTGAATAGGTTCTGAAGGAAAAGCACTTTTGAAGGTGGTGATTTTTCAGGCGTTCGGGATACGATCATAAGCAGGTGAGCCATTGTTAGATTTTGCTGATTTAGAAAATGTTTACAAACTTTCTTGGAGATTACGTCTCTTGGCAACCCAGTCCCATGGCAACCACCCTACACTTGGAGGTCAGAATATTCCTCTTTGGTCCAACAGTCTAGCCTTTAACTACTTCTGGACATATTGCATAAGTTCCTCAGTTGGGTGACATTTGAATAATGCATCCGATCTATTAGAAGCACACATTGAATGTTCTATTTATTTTTAACCAAAAAACCAAGCTCCACATAACTTGCATATTTTCAGAGGTCTCCATTTGCTAAGTCTCCCTCCCCGTGGGTCCATTTTAGTTTACCTATCTCATGCATGATTGTGTGTGTGTATGTGTGTCCTCTTCTACTTTAGGTTTAACTTGGCTTTGTCCTCAATTAATGAGAATTGAACAGGGTGTGTACTCCCATCTATTTTATGACTTTTCCCTCTAAACAGAGACCTGTTAGAAACCTGCTGAAAAGAAGTTCTTCCTGTCTTAATTTCCAATAGCAAAGAATGTCTGTGATTTCACAAGATAACCCTACTTCCAAGTAAATACAATCAAGTGATTATAATGAAGAACTTGATAAAGTATTAGAAATCTAAAGGCCAGCATTTAATTAAACAGAAAATACAGAAATGTTCTTATCAAGCATTTCTGTTATTGATACACAGATCTCTATCTTACCTTTCTAGTTTCTTCAACATCATAGTAAATATCATAGTTTTCCATTTCTGAGTTGTAACTTCACAAGAACAGCATACTTACTTTAAAAACACAATATGAGAATAGTATTTGATTTTTATGTGTTGCACTTCTCCATTAAAAAACACTTATGAAGGACATGCTATGTGCCAGGTATGGAGTTTTCAAAAATAAATAAGATATAACATTCATCTTTAAGAACCTCATAGTTTAGAAATTATACTATATTTGGCTTGAAATGAACACTGCTTCTGAAAATCACTCTCTTTGCAATGCAAAAATTGTGGTGATCTTTAGGAAACAGGATGAGTTGCCAGCGCCACTTGCAAGAGGTCATGGCTCCGGTGATGAGGCAGGCATGGAGCACTGGAGCAGGAGCCAGCAGACTGGGCTTTCATTCTTCCTCCAACACTCACTGTGTTTTCCTGGGCAAGTCACTGAACCTCTAACGCCTCAGATGCCTTGTCCAAAACAGGTATAAGAACTACTCTGCTTCCTAAAGTGATTATCATGGGGTCAAAAAAAAAAAAAGAAAGAAAGAAAGAAAAGAAAATGGCTGTGAAAGATTTTTAAAAAATGTGTGAGGTATTTGTCAGTTCCATGAAGGCAGGGAATTTTGTCTGTTTTGCTCACTCTTGGAACCCTAACATCTGAAACAATGTCTTAATTGTGATATATGCCCCTCAAAATAATTTATTAAATAAATGTACAACTTAATAAAAGAATTCGCCTTTTTTACTTTGAGGAGGATGTGGAATATGATGGATGGGTTCCAGACCAGCAGTACTGAAGAGCCTGGAGGTATTCTGTGGTGACCAGCTCTCATATCAGCTCTGTGGTTGGCATTCTGGGGATTGCAGCTGGGTCAATTTGTGTTTTACGATGGCAGGAGATATATGGGATGGCTCATAAGTAAAAACCAGAAAATGCAAGTGAGGGTAGCGAGTACAAAAATTCCCTGGAGGCAAAGGGGCCAGGAAGGGGAAGGTGGCTTCCATGAGAAGATAGAGCCAGGCAGGACATGGCCTCCTTGCTAGGGGTTACCAGGCAGGTATACAGACATGCAAAAAAGAGAGGGGCAAGACTACAAGTGGGACAACACCCACCTGGCTGTAACCACCAGCTTTAGAACTGCACTTGATGTTTTTTTCCATTTTGGAATAACATTTCCATTCTGGCATGCCTTATATTGGCTATGATACAATATAAGGAATTACAAGGAGCAAGGACAAGCTTGTCTCTCTTTCTCATTTGCCGTCAGAGAGTGGATGAAACCAGAGCCAATAAACTGAAGCTTCTCATTATTGTGTAATAGTAAACATATAAGAAGCAAGAAATTCACTCTAAAAATGCACCAGTTCAATTTTAAGAAAAGAAATATGCAAGTGTTAAAGCCCGGGGCTATACATGATCCCTGTGAGGCTGTTGTTTCTCCTGGTGTGCTCCGGGCTCTCTCTCTCTCTCTTTTTCTCTGGTAGTATAAAATGTATTCTAGTTGACATTTCAGAGTGGCTCAAAGCTCCATCTTCCTGTCTGAATGCCAAATGTGAACTAAAACACATTAGATACTTGGTCTGCCTGGTGGCACACTCTGTGGGTGGATGTCTGTACAGTTCCACTGGAGAGACAATGGGACTAGAATCAAGAGGGAAGCTCTGAGTACATGCTCAAGCACCCAGAAGGGCCCTGTGTGTAAGCTTCTTAGGGGTTGCTCCACTCTGGTGTGTGATCTATGGAATAAAAAGAAACAACCAGAAAGTAAAAGCGTCAGATATGTTTATGTATATTCAGGAATGACTGTGCTGATTTGGAAAGAGTTAATGGTATAAAACTAAGGCCAATGGGATAAGTAGAAAGAAAAAGAATATAATGAGGGATAGGCTTCAGATTACTTGAGGAACAATGGGGGATGAGCTGCAGCCATGATGGAGTGGGAGGCTCATGATCAGGATGGTCAGCTGCAGCCTGTGATCCTCACACCAGAGGCCTCAGGTTTCTGAACATCTGCCCTCCTGTTTAGTTTGTGAAACTTAAGTAAGCAGGAGGAAGAGGCCGTGTTCTGGAAGAGAATTGTGTGTTTTCTTCCATTTCTAGAAGACCCCATATGTGTGCTGGAGTGCACTTGTGTGTGTGAGATTTCGCTTTTGATCTGGACAGATGATAGATTTTCCTATTCTCTAAAGAAAACAATCAAGTCAGAGGGCAACTGGGTCTTATTATTTATTTTAACATCTGAAAACAATGTCAGTTTTTCTTTCTTGTTGCTTTCTTCAGTTGGCCCTTGTCTTGTTGTTGGGCTCATTGAAACACAGCCAGGTTTTCACTCCTAGACACATTAAGTATTTGCAGTGTGTCCCTCTTTGAGACAGGTCTCAATTTTATTGCTTCCTGCAAGGCTGCTGGCATAGGTCTAATCGATACGCAAATAAATGGGGCCATCACAGGTCTTGAGCAACTCAGAGCCTCTGTCTTCTGGATCTTAAGAGCTGCCAGCTGGCCCACTGACAGAAGGCCAGTCAGAGCCCACGTCCCCTATTTTCTACTTCCTTTTCCTTATCTTCTGTCCACTTCTCAAATAGTACCTCTGGGTATTCTCCCAGTTCATTCTGTTTCTAAATCTTTCTTTATTAACTCAGATGCTTGGGAACATTCTTTTTGTGTATCATTGCTATATATATATTTTTCCCCCAAGAAAAACATCTTAACTACATGGTGTCATCTTGAACAAATGCAAAGTAATGTATCTTATGTTTTCTTCTCTATCTATCCTGCCCTTCAAATAAATTCCCCAATCCCCAGAAGGGCCCAGGACAATGCAAGATACTCACTGTTGAACGGATAAATAAATAAATTTCCCAAAGGATAATTCAGGTTTATTTTTTCCCTCCAAAATTCCTTTGATTTATTTTCTTATTATTTTCTCTAGCCTCTTATTTGTTATTTCCTCTTTGAATTCTGACTTCAACTTCTTTCTCCTTTCTGGGTCCTTACTCTCAACTTATAAACATGTTTAAATCTCCATTCTGAAACAAACAAATAAAGACTAAAACCAAACAGTGTCTTTTCCTTGACTATGCATCCCATTCATTTATTCAGCACATGTGTTTTGCCTACTATGTGCCAGGCACTGTCCCTGATGCTGGTTGAGACAGAACAGTTACTGCCCTCATAGAGCTAGTGAGGACATTCAGGTAATAAACGAAAAAATGTCTAGCTACAGTTCAATACTAGGGTCTAGGCCAGTGAATCCCAATGGCCGTTTCAGCAGGCTAATTTAGCCTTGGTGACAGGGTGTGGGATGGATTTGAGCTCTCTTGGCTCCTGGCCTCCCACAGGCCCACAGTCCTGGTTTCCAGGTAGCAATCTCGCCCATCCTCCCAGTTTCAACTCCACCTCTCCATGGGTGGATTCCAAGTTGTATCTAGATCTTCATTCCCATATTCCTAATACCTGGCTTCATGACTATGTGACCAGTGCAGTAGTAGAGGACTCCATGCTTAGAGGGGACATGCAGTTGGGATTTAAATCTTTGGTTACCATCTTGAAATTCATAAAACTTTATATTTGAACTGCTGTTCTGTGAGTCTATAAGTCTTCTTGGGCTGTTGCCATAACAAAATACCACAAATTGGGTGGCTTAAGCAATAGACATTTATCTTCATCATTCTGGAGACTGGAAATCCAAGATCAAGATGCCAGCACTGTTGGTTTCCTCTAAAGGTCATAAGGGAAGGTTCTGTGGCATGCCTTACTTCTTGGCTTGCAAATGTCTACTCTTTGCTACCCCTTCCCATGGTCATTCATCTGTGATCACATACCCCTGGTGTTTCTTTGTGTATTAATCCCCTCTATTTTTAAGAACACCAGTCAGGTTGGATTACCTGCCCCATATGACTTCATTTGACCTTAATCACTTCTTTAAAGGCCCCATTTCCAAATATAATCACATTCTAAAGTCCTGGCTATTAGGAGATATGAATTTGGGGTGGGACACAATTCAGCCCATAGTTTATTTTTCCCCTTCATCCTTTGTGGGGATGACAGAACATTCATTGAAGACTCAGAGTCCTGGCTCACTACAGTCCTGCATCCTGTTGCCTCCCCAGGACATATTCTTAGCTGCCAACTCCCTCCTCTTGGGCTTCCATCCATCCAACAACACCCTCCTTTTACACTTAGAGGCAATATGGTGAAGGTGCTAGGAGGGTAGAGGGTCCAGTTATTCTTCCCTGGGGATGACAGTCCCATTGCATGTTTGCAAGTAATTTGGCAGGGGTGAGCCTTGCATCTGTCCCAAATTCAGGTAATTAGTCTGTCCTAGGCAATGGTGATTACTTGTGCTTCATGGGTCAAGCAGCAGAATATGGGAAGAGTAAAAAATGGACTTCCCCACCTTTGAAAATCTGGGCCAGTGGACCCCTTTAAAACTTTGACTAAAGCATGGAAACTTTTCCCTGAAAAGCTGACATGCATAGACATAAATGTCCTTTTATGCATTTTCAGGGGTTAATAGACTCCATGAAGCTACTTCATGCACCCTTTGCGATTTGGCCCTGTTTACCCTTCCAGCTTCATCTCCCCACAGCTGTCACCATGCTGTAGTCCTCCTTAATGTCATAGCCATCCTATGAATGCATTTTATTCTTTGATGTTTTCAAGTTTTTGCATGCATATGCTTCTTCTTCTGTCTTCTGTCTTCTGTCTACTTCTCTTCATTATCATTATAACAAATTACTATATATTCTTCAAAATTAAAATTATATCCTTCCTTCTCCTTCTCCTTCTTCTTACTGTAATTTCTCACTTCCTATCACCAAAGGTGAAACATAAATTTGCTTTAGGATCTCTAAGAATTTCTTTTATAAGGATCATAATATTAAATTTTGATAATTTCTTTGCCTGTTTGTCTTTTTTACTAGATTATAAGCAATTTTGAGGGCAAGAACTAAGTCTTTTAACCATTGCAATTTTCCTGGTGCCTGGTGCAGAGTCAGCACAATAAATGTTTACAACTATTTGTTGAAAGATAAATGAGTTCATGAATACATGCATGACTGAATGAAAGGAAGTAAGAGCTTGCGATTTAAAAAAAATCAAAAACATGCATTTTAGAGGTGAACAGTCCTGTATTTAAATCCTGGTTCTATCAATGACTAGTATTGTGATATTAGGCAAAGTACTCTTAAGCCTCAGTTTTCTAATTGCAAAATGCAGCAAATAGAATTTACCTCAAGGCAATCTATTGTCCATTTATATCAACAATATTTATAGCTACCTATAACTTAGCCTTTCCCCTAAAATTCTATAGGCTGTAAAGTTATTTAGGAAGGAAAAGACAAAATTAAATATCAGTGAATCTGTGTTCTTGCAGATTAGTTTATTAACAACAACTGACATATGTCTACTGGATGCAAGACATTATGCTGGAACCTATGGAGAAAGTGAATATAAAATAAGCCTATGGAGTGTTAAAATATATATGATAAACCCTGAAATACAGTAGAAAAGGACAGGAAAGACGTTGCTGACACTGGGCAAATAAGTCAGGAATGAATGCCACCATGGGGAGGCGAGATATCTAGGGCAGACATATGAACATGACGTTTCTCCTCTGGATGCTGCAGTTAGGGCTTCTGAAACTAACAGTTAATGACCTGCTTTTTCCACACAGCAGTGTCCTGGCTTTTTGTTTCATGAACCCCTGGTGCTCTGACCAGAATGAAGCCCCATGATACTATATAGCTAAGGTGGAGACTGGCCTGTCCTGTGGCTGGCTCTTAGCAGTGGTAGTTCTGTGGCTTTGCTCTCGGAACAGTTTCACTATACCCTGATGACATGTGATGTAGGCTGTACTGAATAGGTGACAGATAGCATCCCCACAAACAGGAATATGAAACTAGAATGAATCACTGTAAAGATTTGAGAACCACTAACATCTCTCATCACAGATGGACTAATTATGTAATTTAGAACTAAACTTCTGTGGATGAGGCAGAGAAACACACACATATGCTGTAAAGATGATTTTCAGAATATTTCATTTTACATGGAATAATGAAACTACTTTAACAAAAATCAGTGAATCAGATGTCATTTCCAGAAATCCTTTCCTGGTGTCACCAGAATGAGTAACTCATACTATGGCTAGCATGCTTGTGCAATGTGCTGGTATATTACCCACCTGAAGTATGGTCAGAGTTAAACTAGGGTTCCAGGGTGCCAGGTTTCCTGGGCTTAGAGAAAAGTTCCCTCATTTACTAATATGATCTTGGGCAATTCATTTAACCTCTCTAAGCTACAATTCCCTCATCAAAAAATGGAAATGTTTATACTACTTGCCTTATATGGCACCTATGAGTAATAAAATAAATAATCATACAATAAAGAACACATTAGTGCCTGACACAGAGCAAGTGGCTTCTCTCTAGGTATCAGCCTGACTTGCTCTCACTCTCTTCACTTCTTACTCCACTGTGAGGCCATCTCTAACCACCCTTCTAAAAACTTTACCTGATTCACCAAACATTATCCCATTTTCCTGCCTTATGTTTTATGCAGAGAGCATTTTATTTATTTGTTATGCTTACTGCCTGTCTTTTTTACCAGAAAGTAAGTGCTAGGAAATTGTGTCCGTAGTGCCCAGATCAGTGTCTGACATAGAATATGGACTCAATAAATGTTTGCTGGAAGGAAGAAGAAATGAGCCAAGCCTGCTAACTTGAAAGTATTCTTGGCCCAGTCCTATCCGTTTGGAACCTATTGGGAGGACATTTGATTGCCCACTGGCACCTGCACCTGTAGGCAGACAGAGACACTAAAATCAAAGTAGTATTTAAGCAGCCCACTATGAAGGACCTTATTGAACTTGACTCTAGTGCTGATGATTTTTCATAAGCATCAATTCATGATGCCTCATTCCCTCTCGCTCAGTTTAGGAGTTCCTATTACCCAGAGTTGGCCCTAGGGACCCACCACCCAGCGAAGGATGGCCACGACCGTCCCTAAGATTCTTCTTTTTCCTTTCCAGAGACTGACGTGTCCAAGAAAGAGTTCTGCAAACCTCACCTCCTCTCGGCCTCAGCGCCCTGGGGTTGGGAGGGTGTCTTGGGCGCTCCAGTCCGGGACCCCACGCCCAGCGCCGCCTCCGCCGCAGTCGGGAGCGCGCGTTTCCGTCGCACCGTGGCGCAGGGAACAACTCGCCAGCCCCAGGAGGCGAGAGGAGGCGGTGGAGGCTGCGGCGGTGGTGCTCACGCACCTCGGAGGAGCTGTGCCTCGGAGGAACCCACGGGCCGGGGCGCGCCAGCCGGTAACCCCAGGCGGGACGGGGTACCCAGGCCGAGCAAAGCCCGGGCGCAGTACCAGTGTGGTTGCGGGCGAGTTAATAAGACTCGCTTGGTTTGGGGGTGGTTTTTAGTTTGGCTGGGGGGATTGGAGAATGGCGTGGGAAGGGAAGATCAGGGTTTCGAGGTTACCAAGGGGAAGAGTGTGGAGCCCATTCTCTGCTGTGGGTTGACGTGCTTGGTGCCGCCTGAGGGCGTCTGAAAAGGTGGAAGCTGGGGGCGCTCCGCATTTGGGTGGGCTTTCTCCTGCAGCTCGGCTGGGCAGGTGAGAAAACTTTCCTCGCTGCCAGGGCCTGCCTGCCTCTGCGCTATCCTGCCACTCAGACAGTCCTCCTGGGCAGGAAGACCCTGCGCCTCCAGGAGAAATGCGTTGTTCCCTGGCCCCAGGCGCGCGCCCGTCGCAGTGGGTAAGGTTGAATCTTGGCTTGACAGTTGGTTTGTGTAGACTGGGGAGCCTGCCTGCAGGTCATCTTACTAATTAGAGGGATGTTATGGCTTCGCCCCGCCTTTCTTTTCCATCCTTTCTGTGTATTGAATGGAAGAAGCCTCATTAGAAACCTATTTTGAGACTTTGTGGTCTCCACAGCGTTTTAGATGACTTGGAATCTCAGATAGTATAATCAATTTAATCTGACAACAATGAACCAGTCAATAATGTTTTAAAAGCAAAAGAAGCTTGGAGAAAAGTGTCCATGATACTCCAGGGAAGAGAGAGGGACTCCCATACATAAATTAATTCTTAGGAAAATCGCCAAAGTAGCAACATTTCCCATGACAGGTGAAGAAATTAGATGGAGATATTCAATAGATTTTGCCCCAGTTAGCAATGCGGAGGAGGGGTCTGGAAACTAGCACTGTGAATCTGGTGTGCTTGTGTACACCACCAAGAACAGGTGCTGGAAGGTGGCCTGCAAGGATAAGATGGAAAAGGGGGGAGATTGTGATAAGCTAGGTGCCCTCAATGAGCTTTATTTCCATAAGGAGATTATCCACTGCTTATGGAAGGTGAGGTGATAGTAACAGGTAACAGGATTGACAGTGTTGCTTCCAATCAATATCTTTCCTTTCAAGATGGAAAATCCAGCCTAAACATCTTCGAGAGGATCTTAAAGCCTGAAATTGAACCAGATTATTCAAAGCTCAAGTGACAGACATTCTGGAGCAGTGAAAGCATTTAGTCACCTTTGCACAGGTATGGACATGAGAACAGGGCCAGGAACCTTTCAAAAGAATCATTGAGTCCTGGTGACATTCCAGAATAAATTCTTTAAAAAGATAGCTCTGGACCACTGAGAAAAGCATTTACAGAGATAAATTATACTCAACTTGTTTCTTTCCTTTTCCTAGCAATCTACTGGGCTGTGGATTGGAGTGTGCCACGTCCATTGTTTTTAAATATGAGTTAAGACCCATTAGGATAATGGAATCAGTTTAGTTAATTGCAACCAGCATTTTTAAAACATGAAAGGCAATCTGAGGGAAAACATCAGAGTACAATGCATGAGCAGGGGTATTGTTTTGTGAACTGTGTGTGTGTGTGTGTGTGTGTGTATGTATGTGTGTGTGTGTATGTATGTGTGTGTGTGTGTTGTTTATCTTGCTGCCTCTGCATACACACCCCTGGCTACCACCCTTCAGTCTTTCAGACTAACCCCTCTCTTCTCACAGCGGGTTGGGGGGTTGTCTTCTATCTTGCAAATGACTAGATCACCACCTTCTGCAAAGGGTCACCTTCCATTTCTATTCGCCCCCAGATGCTGAGGTATGTCACCAATCAGAATTAATTCTGTTAATTCTTTATTTTTGACTTTTTAATATCATCAGGGAGAAAAGAAGTTGGCCAAGGGCTTCCTAATGCACAGATTTTAGTCCTCATAGCAAGATGACTGTTATTTCCATTTTACCAGTAGAGATTCCAAAGCTAGGGACCTATAGATAAGTCAGTTACTGGCTCCTCCCATCAGTGGACAGTCTAAGGGGTGCCCAGCCCTCACAGAAGCACTTTAGGCAGTCTTCTGCTACACCAAAGAATAAGGAGGGGAAAGTGTGGAATGCTGAGGGCTCTGTCCCTGTCCCTTCTCCTTCATGGTATCACTCTCACTAAGAGAAAGACATAGAAGGGGCATTGATCAGAGTGGCAGTAACTACAAATCTGAAAGGGTAATCTATGAGACTCATATGTAGACAAGAGATAATAATATTGGAATATTAGGCTCACTGTAAAATTAAAGGTCTGGTTATGCATTGAGGTTCAAAGAGTCAACTTAAAAAGTAAAGGATAAAGCAACCCCAGCAATTCATGTGAAAGAAAAAATCTGTAGTTTTCAATAAACCACCAGTCCTGAATGAATCAAAGTGTGAAGTTGCTACTCAAAAGCAAACTTGGGTTGCATTGATAAGGACATGCCTTTTCTTACAGACATTTGTATGGAACTTGTTAAGTGCCAGGCACCATTAGGAGTGTTTTGCAATTTTAACCCAACCCCATTTAATAGATGAAGAAACTGAGGCACAGAAGGATGGAATAACTTTTCTGTGGTCAGATAGTTAATAAATAGTACAGCTGAGATTAGAACCTGAGTCTTTAACTACTACCCCTGCTTCCTCCCTGTGGAGTTTGGATGAAAGGAGTCCCAGGCCCACTGTACTCCATGTTGCATTCTGGGCAGCACCTATAGAGAGATTGAGGACAACTTCAAAGTATTGGGGGATGATGGCCTAGATGAGAAGAGTCTGGAAATCAAGCCATAGGAGGAACAGGAAGTGATAACCTGGCAGAGAAAAGTTTGGCCAAGTATTGAGGCCAGTCTTCAGATATCTGAGGAGCAGGGAGTAAATTTGTTCCTAGTAGCAGAGGTAGGACCAGCAGTCAAGCCAAAGCTGAGTGCTCTGTCAGGACTGCACAGAGGAGGGATTCTCCACTGGGTGAGTGGAGGTGTTGAATTTTATCTCTGAAAGCCTTTTCAGTACTCAACTTCCTCTAGTTTATCAGAAACACAAGAGCAAAAATGAACTTTAAAAATAACTGGAAGTTAATCATGAATGTGTGTGTGTAAACAGGGTACTACTTAAAGTTTTGACTGAGGCACACTTTCAGTTTCTTTGAACTTCCAAAGGGAGTAGAAGTATCAGAATAGATATTTGAGAAACTTTCAGTAATTTTGAACCCACTGGCCACTTCAAGAATATGAGGGTTGGGACTAGAGATGTAGTTCAGTGGTAGAGCACTTATCTAGCATGAGTCAGGTCTTGGGTTCCATCCCCAGCACCCCCACCCCACCAAAAAAATTAGTAAAGGAAAGAAGGAAGGAAGGAAGAAAGGAAGAAGGAAAGGAGGTAGGGAGGGAGGAAGAAAGGAAGGAAAAGCTGAAAGAAAAGACCTTGAAGACCTTGTTAAAGAGATGTCTTCAGAAAGGTCTGTTGCTGCTTCCTTCATTTGAAACCTAGTGATGGGAGCTTTTAAGTGATATGAATTGAGCTGTATATGTGTTTTCTGCTTTGGGGACTCATATTATGGCCTGGGCCAACTGGATCACTCACTTTCCCAAGTTTGGTGGGGCAAAGGATGCCTGAAGATTTCCTGGGGCCCAAGTAGGACCACCGAGGAGGGAAGGCCTGTCAGAAGGTGAGAACATCCCAGACTCTAGTTTCTAGAAATCCAGAGGCAGAGGAAGGAATGAGCAGCCAGCTGAAGGAACATCACTGAGGCACCCATGAAGAGAGAGTTTAGAGATGGTTAATGCTGGCCTGTCCTCCTGCCTTGATCTTGGAAGGGTGAGAAACTACCAGCAATTGAGTGGACGTGGAGAAGAAGTAGCCAGCTCTCCCAGGTCTCTCAGGAGGCAGCATACAGCAGGACCTTGTCCAGAGTGGGTCAATTTCATGTTATAATCAGGTCAGAGTTCCTTTTGTGTCTAAAGACAGGAAATTTTAATTCTTTTGGGACTTTGAAGTGGTTGAGCAGAAGAGTCAAGGAATCTGCTTCAGCATTTATTGGAAGACAGGGACAATAAATCCCTTGAATGCATTTTATGGAATGGTAGAAAACAAAAATAAAATAGACATTTGATCAGGCCCCACAAGTTGTGCCAGCTCAGAGAATGGGTTATCTATGCTTTGATTAACTTAGTAAAGGATAGCATGCTATTTGCTTAATGATAAATTTACTTTTGACAAAGGAAGATTTAAAGGCAGAAGCAGTTTAAAAAAAGAAAACATTTATTTTCCCAGAGAGCAGAAGCGTCCTTCTTTGGAAGCCTGGCCCATCAAATAAAATTACAATAAATACTTGAAGGAAAAATTCCACAAAATTACCAATATTCTCATGTGTATATTATTCTGTTGTTCGTAGTTGGAAACAATTTTCTCACATGATCTTATTTTCCCCAAAGTCAGTCTTGTCTTCAGATATCAGGATAGCAAATAATCATAGAAAAAAATGGATATTTTTCTCTCAGAAGTGGGAAATGTTTAAGGTTTTATTATTTGGTGGACCAACTTCCATGATAAGATAATCTTGTTATTTTTGGCTTATGTCAGGGTGCAAAATAATTTTTTTTTCTTGACTGAAATATGGATAATGCTTTGTTCTATTGGAAAGAGGGGGGAAGTATGTGGTTTTGCTTTTTTACTTGCAAATGTGATTATTTATCCATTATAGTGTTGCTGAGATGTATAGTAAAAATGCAGAAATTGAGAATGCCTTTATGAAATGCTTAAGTTATGGAAGTTAAGTGGGGTGTAATAGCATATGCCTATACTCCTAGCTACTCAGAAGAGAGGCAGGAAGCTTGAGCCCAGAAGTTCAAGTCCAACCGGGGGGAAAAAAACATGGAA